GTTTGGTGATTTATTTTTCATTTTATTTTTACGAAAGCAGCGTTTTGCTGCGCCAGACAGATGTACCTGACCGCCAGAGGCTCTGGCTCTGTGGGTTCCTGCGGGTCTGGTTCTGTAAATCCGGCGTGTGCCCAGGTCTGCGTGGAGAGGAGGGCACTGCTCTGCGCTTGCGGACACGTGTAGGATGGGACCAAACACGGAAAGGGCTTTAGCACAGGCTTGGGTTTTGTTTTTTTCAGTAAAACTTAAATGAGCCTGAACAATTTTTACAGAAATCTGCCTGGCAACATGTTTTGAATTTCTATTTTTTTTTGTTCAAAATGGGAAAGCTATAAAAGCTACCTGACTTAGGAGAGTCTTACTCTTATCTGCCATTTCTCACTAGATTAAAGTGTATAGCTGAAACTTTTTTTCTCCATGTGTGCTTTTTTTAAGCAAAGTACTGACATATTGGAGCATTTTGGAGGGAAGAAAATTGGTGCTTGGAGCTTCAAGTGGTTACTTATGCTTGTGCTTAGTGGTTTTTTTTTTTTTAATGAGTGTTAACTTTGGCACGTTTATCTATTTTCAGGGTTTAGATTCATTATATACGCTTTATAATTGTTTCAAATACTGTGAATGTAACATTCCACCTCCCCCCTCCAGGCTTTTGCAAAACTTTCTAGAAAATTATAATTAGTTCTTTGTGATAGAATTTATTACAGTGTTTATGTAAGAAAAGGTACAGTCCTTTTGAGTTCACGTTAAAATTTGGTGGACTGAGGTACCAGTTATTGTTTTCTGTCTTGTTTTTAAGTTACTGTATGTTTGTACTTACCAGTTACGAATGCCTGAGAAGTAGTGACAAAGCTAAGGTTAAAATAGGCCTTGTTAGGAGGAGTGTGCTAGCGATTTTTAATCCCCTTCATTAATTTAGAATTTGTATTTTATTTGGTGGTGTTCTTTGGGAAGGAATAGTACGTGTTTACAGTTTTTCTGTGTTCAATGTATTAACGCAGATAATGTAAAATTGTGAGGGATTTGTGCTTTTCAGCTTATTCTTTCAGTTATGCTTGTATTTTTACACCTTTAAAAATATCTTTCCTTTTGTTTCCAGATGTTTTTTCAGTATTCCTCCTGACTGTGGCCTTTTCTGAGTCTTGCGTATTTACGTCTTCTATATGTGTGGAAAAATGTTAAAAAGGCTGTTCAAGAATTGATGTCAAGTCTTTTCTTAACGTGTAAGTCTGACTTCTTCTTTGATAATGTACAGCTAAAGATCCCTGGGATTTTTTGATTTTTTACTAGTTGGTTGTTTCGAGTAAATATTTTTGTTTATCATGCTGGAGGTGCTTGTTGATAGTTGCGTGCTACCCAATAATAACAAAGTTAAATTATAATTTGTGTGGTTAATTAGTTAAAGGAGATCTCAAATCAGGTTTGAATATACCCAGCTGAGACTCTTTGCCAAACATAAATGTTTTATCCAGTTAGTAAAATGTTGCCCAGTTGAGGACCATACTGGCCCTGTGTTGAAAGCCCGAGATTTGTTCTCTGTAGCATACTGCATCCACTTCTGATTTTTATAGTGCTAATTGCATGCGTATTTCAGGTTTCAGCATTTGACAGTATAACATTTAAATCTGAATAATAGGCAGCTACCATTGGGATGATGTATTGCATCATGCAACCTGTAATCTTCATGTGTTGCGTCTGTGTATTAAACAAGTTCTTCAGCAAATAAGTCAGTCATTCTTAGTTACTTATGTGGGAGTTCAGCTTACTCCTGTTCAAGAAGGGATTTACCATTGACAAGAGAAAGCGTTACAGTACAGTACTCTTGGTGTAAATGGAGTGCAGTGTAGATGAATTGTTCTCTTTTGAAGGCTCAAAGTAGCGTAACATCCCGTGTGTTAATCTCCTGTGTGGAAGATGGGAAATGCATCGTTGCGTTTTTTAAAAAAAAATAATCCTGTACCGAAAGTATTTTTTTTTTTTTTCAGTTTGGAAAGACTCCCAAGGAGGGAGCGTGTGTATATGTCTGTGGTGTTTGGGTTTTCTTGGTTTTTTGAATGTCACATGTATAGTTGGAATCTTGCAGGTCTCATAGCTGAAGAACACAATTAATTGAATTTATTGGATATTGGAGTATGTATAAAATAGCAAAGTCTGTTTTGATAATTATTTTCAAGAGTTGTGCAGAAATGCTAGTATGTTTTCCAAAGGAATGCAATAGAGCATATGCTTTAAAACATGTTTTGCTTTTTTTGCTACATGATGCATGAACACGGCCTTGAAAATTTTTCAGTCTCCATTTTCTTTGTCAAATATTTGCGTATTTAACGTTAGATACTTCATTCTCACAGGACTATGGGAAAATACTTGGAAGACCTTAGTGGTGATGCTTATGATGGCCTGGAGCTCTAGAAGCAGCTCTTGCACTTCATCCCAGTGAGGGAAAGGATGTGATTGTTTTTTTTCAGTTTGAATGTGAATACATAGAATCATCTAAAGAGTTCCAAGTCTGTGTTGCTTCAGGGTGGGCAGGGGAGTAGTGGAGAGAGCTGCTGATCAGATTTCAGCCAACACTGTACTAGATTTTGCTAGTAAAGAAGAAAGTGATGCTATGACTTCTGCTATGGAAAAAGTTTTTAGTAAAAAGTATTATATACTAGTGAAGAAATAGTTCTTGTTCCTTTTCAGTTTCACTTTTCAAAAGCCAGATTATTTTCACTGCTATTCCAGTTCTGCTGATTTTATGTTTACATGTGGGGCTTTGTTTGAGTGTGGACTTGAGCTGGTAGAAGTTGTCAGGGCAGCCTGTTATGGAAACACTGGCATTAAGTCTGTAGCAAGACAATGATGCTGACCATACCTATTTGAGCCTCTTAATCCATAAAGGAGTACTCTTGTCAGTCATACTCTTGTTCTGGAAAGATTCACCTATACCCAAGAACATATGGTTGGAAACCAAGGTTAACATTTATCTGTTGACTGCCTCAGACTTGTGTGATACTAAAGGCAGGCATGCAAAAAATTCATTGTAGATGAGCGTAGTGGGTTTTTTGGTGTTGATAAAGGTAATGTCTTCATTAGCGAAGTAGACGTTTCATCAGATTTTGAGCACAATAGTTAGCTACTAATAGAATAATAGACTTAAGTAATAAAAATATCAGCTCCTGAAATTGACTTGTTTTTAGTACTTCAGCTAAGTTCAGTTAGTGATCCACGTCACAGAGGAGGTACTGTGTTTACATTTGCTTGGAATCCTGAATGAGTAATAAATGCTAGCTTCGCTTTAAAAAAACAGCGCTTGGGATTTCTCGTACTTACAGACTGTCCTGGTAGGAGAAAACCAAAATTTGATGGCATGCAATTTCAATGTTTTAATCTTTTGGTAGATGTTGTCCTTTGAGACTTATTTTTCAAAATTTATGTATGTTTTGTTCACAGAGTAATGTCTCTCTCTTTTTTTTTTTTTCCTTCATCCTTTTTTCTTTCAAATGCTATTGTGAAAATTAACAGCTTCCAAGACTGGCATGTATTTACTAATGAATTGTAGTGAGTGTTCTAATTGCATTAATTTTAAAAGTAATGGTTGCTTTGTTTTCTAATTTCAGGAGAATAAAATGGGGAAGTTCTAGAACCTTGAGAATAACTCAGCACAGTAGTCTTGTTTGCTGTGGGAACTAAAACTAATCTCAAGAATTCTCCCGAAGAAAAGGAAAACCTAAAATCATGCCATCTGAAAGGGAACAGTTTTTTTGTGATAAAAAGCAAATTAGTTTGTTAAAACACAATGCTGCGAAGAATTTCTCTACAGATACTACTTTGGAAAAAGCACTGGTGAATGATCCTTTAAGTATGATGACTCAACCAGCAAGTTTGGATGTCAATAACTCTTACGAACTAAAAAATGTGAAAATTGATTTACCCAAGGTGAACATTCCAAATGAAGTATTAATGAAACATGAAGTTGATAGATATGGAAAACTCTTTCAGTGTAAACAGCAAACTGCAAGGAAGTCATTAAGCTTAGAGGAAATAAACGGAAGCAATCCCAATTGTTCAGAGGGCAGCCACTTGCAAAATAAACCAGAAATGCAATTTGAAGAAAGGTTGAAAACTACGGCAAAGATACTGAATTTCACTTGTACGAAGTGCAAGGATAACATTAGATACAGCCCAAATGATCTACAGAAACATTTTCAGCTGTTACACTATGGCGAGTTGCCTTTGTATCCTTGTGAGATGTGTAACTTCTCGGCTAATGACTTTCAGTCATTTAAACAGCATAGACGCATCCATCGTAGCACTTTAGTAAAATGTGAGCTCTGTAATGATGAGCATATGTACACTTTGTTGGATTTGACGAAACACTTCACATCAAAGCATTGTTTAAATGGTCGCTTTCAATGTGAAAAATGTGGGTTTTCTACCCAGGATGTGGGCACTTTTGTTCAGCACATTCACAGACATAATGAGATTCCATATAACTGTGGAAAGTGTCATCACGTAAGCTTTACAAAAGAGGAGTTCCAGAAACATCTTCGTGTTCATACCAGTATCTTTCCTTTTGGTTGTCAGTATTGCAGTTACAGCACATCACGGAAAGATTATCTTTTAAAACACATCATAGCTTTGCATAGAGACCACTTATATGCAAAAGAAAAACTGGAAAAGGATAAATGTGAAAAAAGAATAGTGAAGACTCCAGCAGGACTGAAGCTTGTGTTAAGAAGGTGTAAAATGGGAGCATCGAAAAAAGCACTCTGGAGACGGAAAAAAATAAGCAGTGGAAGTGAGAAAACTGGAGAACAAAATGCACAAGTGCTAAGAAGTGTGAATAAAATTCAAACAAAAGCTGAGGAGTTGAACCAGTGTATGAGAGATGTGGAAGCAAATGAAGAAAAAGATCAAATTACATATACAGAAAAGCATAATTTCACGGGTGGAATGCTCTCTGCTACTCCTGCGCAATACAATAAAACAGATGATAGAACAAGTTACGGCCTGGGATTATTGAAAAATGCTGTTCATGGGCCAACGGTATTGATGGTCAAAAACAATAAAATATCTATTCCAGCAAATTACAGTGCTAAATTTATGGGATTTAAAATGGTAGATGGAAAACAACATATTGTTATAAAATTACTACCTACAAGTAAGCAAAACATGCATTTGCTGGATCAGAAAGCTGATCCTATTAAAGATGGTTCTACAACTCCTTTGCTACAGACTGCTGGTCCCTGTGGCTTGTCTTCAGGTGCTATACCACATGTAACTGGTCAGTCAACCTTAAAGAATAATTGTCTTCACCCATTAACCTCCCCTCCATTTTCTTGTTCTGCTCCTCATTCAGGAAAAACAAAAGTGGAAAAACAAAATAACTCCTTATTGTATGGTAGGAGTGTTTCTCAAACTGTAGCACCTTCTAATGTAGCTGTAGGAAAAAGTTCAAATTATTTGCCAATGAAGTTGGGTTCAGTTGTACCTCCATGTGATGAGGTGACAAACGTTGGAACTCGAAGTAGTGTCTCATGGGGAAGCTATAGTCCTCCAAGTCATCCTCAGGTATTACCACCCACTATTACAAATACGCTTCACTATGACTCTATGAAAATGCCCTTCTTTCCTGGACTGAAAATTCAAAATGGTGGTCTGAATAATAGCAATGGAACTAATAGTCTCTATTATTCAACTTCAGTGGATTCTTCTAATGAAGGGTTACTGTCTTTTCACAACTACTCCAAAATGGACACTTCAGATAATCCATGTAGCATTTGGATGTCAACAGATGACAGATACAAAGAATTTAGTAAAACAGTTTCGTTTCAAAACAGTAGAAGTGAATCTGCATCTTCGTATTCAGAGTCAATGAGAGGCTTAAAACCAGAGAAAGTTGTATCAGCACAATCAAATATTAATAGAACTTATGGACACATAAACACTAAGAATAACTCTGTGACTTCTAAAAGCCAATCTAAATGTGGTCTTGAGAGCGAGTGTTTTATGGAGGGCCAGCATAATGGCCAGCAGTGTTTGGACACTAACATACATCAAGGATTTGAGAATGTAGCTGAGAAATTCCAAGAAAATGCCTCTGATTGTGTTAACTCGGTTTTAATGCCTAAAATCACATCTGTTTTCTCATTGCAGAGTGAACAGGCAGCTAATTATTTGTTGCCTGAAATAAACCAGTTACTGCAAGATGTGTTAAAGGTGAAAGCAACTACTCAGCAAGAATCCCACAGCAAGTCAAATAATTGCATAAAACTTCATTCTGACAAGCTACTTTCTGGTCACGAGACAGGGAATAAAGCCTTTACACATTTAAAAAGCTCGGCAACTGCAGGTGGTTTTCAGAGGCTGCCTTCTAATGCAGGCTTTAATTTATATACGAAAGAGTTGAACGCAATGGATAGCACAAATGAAGGTGCACATTGTGGGAGAGAGAGACAGACACACAGAACATCATTTGAGTCACAGGAAATGGATAAATTATCCATAACTCCAGGTGTTGGTACGTTCCTAAAATCTCATACAGATGCAATCATAACACAGCAAGTAGTAAAAGATAAAATACTGTCTACAACCCAGAACCCTAGCAGCTTTTCACCAGTTATTCAGGAACAGAAGAAAACCCTTTTAGTTCAGTCCCCTCCATCAGGATTTTTTGTTCCTTTGCACCTTGCTAACCAGCCTGGACTGCAGGTTGTTTCAGGAAAATCTCTTCCGTCAACCAGTTCGTCAGATGGGCATGTGGCTAAAGGTGTACCTGCATCTTTTGTCTTAAATAAAGGACCTGGAATGATTTTGACTTTTAATGGGGCAATTGGAACTGTTGCAAATGTCACTAGTGATAGTTCTCAGGTCTTAGGGAGAGTTGCATCCGGAGAATATGGTAAAATAACCATACCAGCTTCAAAAGTGGAGGCGAAAAATGACAGTTTCAGAAGTGTAAGAAGTTCTTGTAATAGGAGAGGATGTAGTACAGCAAATGACTCATTGAATGGCATGCCGTTCAAAGGGCCTCTTGTGATTATGAACTCATCGGAGTCAACTGTGAAGGGAATTTCTTCTGTGAAGGTGTTACCAGAGCATCAGGATGCTGTCTTTGGTTCCCTGGAGTCAGTAAGCCAACACGAAAATAAACAGAAACAAAATGTTAATGCACTTTCACCTGACAAACAGCAGGCAGTTTTTCTGAAATGTATGACATCAAACAAGCCTGTAGTTCATAAACATAGTGTTTTTCAGGATAGTACTCACTATCAAAATTGTCAACCAAAGAAAACTGGAGCCATGCAACAAAAGCTTTTGCTGAAAATTAAGACTTCTGCTTCAGATACGCTGGCTGATGCCACTCAGTCAGTAAGCAACTCGGTGCCCTCACTACAGTTTGATAACTTGCAGTCCCTTACTCCTGCACTAGCACAGAAACAAACTAACCTTACTTCTAATGATGCCTTAATCTTACCAGGTAGGTTAATGCCAGCAAATGCCTCTTCGTCAAGCTCTAATCAAGCATGTTGTGTTCCTGCTGTAGAACCTGTTTATTCTAAGTCTGCAGGGACACGGTTGCAAAAAGGTTCTGTTGAAAGTATGCAAGTAATTGCTAACAATAGGAAAAACTTTGGTAGTCAGAAGTCCACATGGAGTACCCGAAAAAGAACTGCAAAAGTAAAACCTCGTTTAAAACAAACTGGGTCTAAAAGTTCAGAAGCTGTGGGTATACAAAGAAAGAATAATTTCAAACGGAAAAAGAAGGATAATTGTCCAGAGCCTCCAAGAAAGAAAGTAACGTTGCACAGAAAGTGTAAGGAAAAGAATCAAGCTGAAGGTGTTAGTGAATCAGGTGGCCCTTACAAACCAAGGGCATCAAAAGAAACTGTGAGGACTTTGAAATTACTTCCTTTTAATTCTAAACAACTTGTAAAATGCCCTCGGAGAAATCAACCTGTTGTTGTGCTTAACCATCCTGATGCAGATGTTCCAGAAGTTGTAAATGTAATGAAAACGATTGCTAAATTTAAGGGACATGTTCTTAAGGTTTCATTGTCGAAAAGAACTATCGAAGCGCTTCTGCAGCCAGCCTTCTGCAATCCTTTGGACGTAACTACTGATAATCTTTCTCAGAAGAGGCACAGGATAATAAAACCTATTAGCCCTGTAAAGGAAAGATTTGTCTTAAAATTGACACTGAAAAAGACTAGCAAAAACAATTACCAGATTGTGAAAACTACCTCTGATAATACCTTGAAAGCTAAGTTTAGCTGCTGGTTTTGCGGTAGAATATTTGACAATCAGGATAATTGGGTAGGACATGGACAGAGGCATCTGATGGAGGCTACTCGAGATTGGAATTCATTAATGTAATGATGACCAGTGAAGAAAATAAAATTTAAATATCGTACATTACAGTTTTTTAAAATGAAAATCAATTGAATTAGGATACACAAGTCGTTTTGTTTTGCATTTCAGTTTTGTAACTGAAGTTAAAAATGATGCAAAGTGTTTGTATTTTAAAAGGAAGAGCAGATTCTCTGTTGCCATCAAGCTTTGGGATAGATTAATGAGCTTTGTGGTTAGGTAACTTGTAACGAACTGCAAATACAATTCCATAAAAATATATATTATTTTTTGTTACTACTATCATGTCGTATATTTTTATTCTATAGAATGAGTTTTCAGGGCTTTTGTTCTGTACATATTTAAAAAAAACCCAAACATGTAAATATTTTTATACTTTGCAGTTATTTGGTATAATTCTTGCACAGAAATTATCCCCCCCCCCCTTTTCAGTTCTGTGCATGCACTACTAAACCCAGTTTTAAAAATTTTTTCAAGTACACACAGCTGTTATCCTGGGTTTTTTGTTACTTTCACTTGTTGGTTCTTGATTTTCAGGGATTGAACACTATTGTTAGCAAGTGCCTCAAAGATGTGAAGCAGTTTACATTATGTCAGCTGTGTAACCGTAGGTCCATATGGGGTGAGGCGCTGGAACAGGTTGCTCAGAGAAGCTGTGGCTGCCCGCTCCCTGGAAGTGTTCAGGGCCAGGCTAGATGGGGCTTTGAGTAACCTGGTCTGGTGGAAGGTGTCCCTGCCCATGGCAGGGGGTTGGAACTAAATGATCTTTAAGGTCCCTTCCAACCCAAACCATTCTCATATAGGACGATTTGCCCAATAGTTTAATTTAAACAAAGCCATATGTGAATGCTTTAAGCTATATTGCTATGCACATGACACTTGTACTATTTCTTGCAGTTTGTCTACTTTCTTAGTGAAGTATTTTTCATATAAATTAATAAAACATGTTATGATTGTGTTAATACGGTGAGCCTGAGAATGGAATCAGTTGGAAATACACAGTATATATATTCATAATGTATATGGTGTTTAATAATGGTGAACATTCCTAATCTGTATTGACTCTGTCACTATTAAATTTGCTATAACTTGTGTTTACAGAATATGACTGTGAGCATTTATAGAAAATATTTCTATTTTGTTTTACACTATGTCTGCCACAAACCCTATAAAAGGCCAGGATATGGTGAAGTGTAAAGCACCATTTCAGGCCTGTAACTGCATTATAGTTTTATTCCAGGTGGATGTAATTTGTCCGCATAATGACTAAAGAGTGTTTTCTACTATTGCTTATTCAGATGAACTGCCTTTTAGGGTACCAGGGGTCTGGCAAAACCAAGGCTTGAGTTATTCCTCGTTCATTTTACTGGCCAGTAGGGTAATAATCCTAGGAACCTGCTTGCTTCCTACTTACGGTTTAGGGATAACGATGAAGGGAGGATATGCTTCACATTTATGTAAACAAAAGACCTAATCTTATCCATAGTGACTGAGAGTATACAAATGAAGGTCCTTATTACCCACAGTAATTATTATGTTTAGAGGCTTTGTCCTCCAGATGCTTAATGAACCCGGAGGCTAGATCCAGTCTTCAGTGGGAGTGCCGTTACCATATGACACCTTTTGCCCAAGTACTGGACGATAACATCTGAGATGCGTACGTCAGCTTCCCAAAGTATTGATGGAAAAACTGTCAAAATTGAATAGTGGACTTGGAGAGGATTGAGGCGTTTAAATCTCTGAGGTTTTGGATTGTGTGCAAGCCCAGGGGTAGTTCTTTTTGACTGTTTCCATAAGGTGAAGGTGAAGATTGACTTGCTACCAATGAAACGATTGGAAGTCCTTTACAGATGTTACAGGGATGTCACTGGTAACAGAATTTGACATATGTTTGAAAAAGTGTTACAATGAAAATGATTTTAAAAGCCCCTACTTCAGTAGCTAGGTAGGGTTTTATTTCTTCATGTGTCTGTTGGCAGGAAGATGGACACTGGCCTTGTAAGCTGGTGAGTTATGTATGGGAGTCAACTGAACTACCTGAAACAGTCAAGGCAGCATAGTTTGGGTGAATTAATGTAGAGTTGGTGTGTGTTCTGTATCAAAATCGGATCATTTTGTGCTGCACAGTGGGCTTGATCTCTGATGTGAATTTGGTTAGGAACTTCGATGAAGACAAGTGTAGTGGTGAGGAAGTGTGTTAGAAGGAAACAGCATTAGGAAAGGACAAAAATGTGTTAAGCTTTTTTGACTGGAAGAATCTACTGGCTGCCTCAGCTTGCTCTCCTATAAACCCTGAAACTCAGCCCCTGAATTCTGGACATTGCCGTTGCCGCCTGTGGCAGAAATACCTGTGAAATTTGTTGCTAAAACTTGGTGCAACTTCACCAAGGATGACCAGTTTTTGTTAACAGTTACTTAGCACTGAGGTGGAAGTTCAGCTGTAGGGTTAGGAGTTTTTCTCTATATTGCTGAATCATGAGAGTGACAACTGTCACTGGAATTTTTTTCCTTCCAGCTTGTTTTCCTGTGAATTGAGTAACCTTAAACAATGTTGTGAAAAAGAACATTGTAAAGCTAGAAAATGTTGAAATAAGGTTGCTTTATACAGCCTTAATTTGTTGTCGTGTGTCACTGTCCATGGACATGCATCTCATTCAGTACTAATAATTGTTACTCCCTCTTGAGCAGTGATTTAATATTTTGCTTCCCCACCCTCAATTATGTCCTTGTATTATTTAGCGCACATTGCTCAAGTACTGTTACAAAATATAATTCTTCTTTTCTTACGCGTTTTTCCATGCTGCTTTGTTTGAGGTCCTGAGAATTTGGCACTTCTGCAGATCAGGTTTCAAGGAATCTCAAGTGAGACTTCCATGAAATTAAGATCACAATTAGTGATCATTAGGAGAAGGTTTGTCTTAAGCAATTTGAGCAGCATCACGGTGGATGGTGCAGTGACAATATACAGTTCTTCAATGAAAAAGTGATCATACATTTGATGCTTGTATTGCGATGGATATATCTGATGTGACAAATTAAGGTTGCAGAGGTAACCTGATTGAAGAGTGTCTTGAGTGCTTGACTTGGCAACTGCAGCATTTTAAGATAGCTTGTAACATTGTGCATATAGCAAGATAATAAAACCTTACCTCAGTTGCACCTATTTCTGTATGTCGAAAACACTGTAAGTGCTGCAGGGTCAACAAGTGTTTTTCCTCTGAGGAAATGCTTTGTAAATATATACTTGGCCTAAGCCTTATTTGTACAGTGTTGATGTGATTGTGTAAAGTGGCCTTAAAGAGGCCTGAAATCTATCTTGTTGTGTATTCTTTGCAAGATGTGTATTCATCCGTAAGTCCTGGTTTCTATTCCTCAGTAATTTCAATGTTTTAACAAAAAACTTGTGTTCAATATTTGTTCCAGGGCTGTTGTCACGTGAGACCTTTCTTTTTTTTTCCAACACTGCCTAAGAATCTCTGCCTGCTGCTGGTGGTTTAGATTGAAGGAGGAATGTAGTTTTGTAACTTGTGTGTCTGAACACTTGGATTTTTGAGAATGCAAGTTCTTACTCCTTTCATGGAACAACATTGTCAGAAATGATTTGCAGTACTCATTGTACTGTCCTTTCTGTATCAGGTAGGCAGACAACACTTCCACTCCTTTGTATAGTGGTAAATATGATACTTTGCCCTGAGTTCTCAGACAAAAAAATTACTTAATTTTAAAGCCATTTTTTTTAGTTCTAGTTTTAGGGCTTCCTTTTTTTTTTTTTTTTTTTTTCCTACTTTTTCAGTTAATGACAATTATATGAAGAACAGATTAGCTAACAATGTCAAAGAAATACGAGGGGGGGAGGTGTGTTGCTATGTCTGTCAGAGGTCAGACGACATACGTGCGACCTGATGGAGACACTTGACAGCATTAACAGTGGCAGCTGCTGGCAATGCTACAGTTCTAAGAAAGTTTCAGGTATAGGATTGCACCAAGTTACCATTTCCTACATTCTGTATTGGCTGCTGAATCAATAGCATCAGGCTTTTTAACATAGCATGCTCCATCCTAAGTGCTAATTTATTTTACATCCTTGCAAAATGCAAGCTTGTATTTTCCCTTGCTCAAACCTTTCTCTTCTCCAGCTAAAACTGTGTTTCAAAGTATGTCTACGCCACAGTCTGCCCAAGTTATAAAATATCTAGCTTGAATATGGAAAGCCGAGTACCTAGTCTGCTTATTGTATAAAACTGCATATAGTAAAATAGGTGATCACAGACTGGTGTTACTGTTTGTGGTGGTGGGTTTTTTTTTCAGCTTCCTCTGGAGTCTGACTTTGTTCCGAGGGTGTTCTTATCTCAGGATGAATGGATTATTTTGTGGAAGGTGGTGTTGCCTATAAAAGGCCATCCTCATTTTGTTGTTGAAACTGTGAGGTACCCCTGTAATGATACAGAACATGGCTAAAAAGAAGAGATTGGGGACGAAGGTAGTTGAATGTTTATCTAGAACATATCCTGTTATTTGTAGATCAGCCACAGTGTTACATGTAGTGCTGTGCGCTTAAGAGCTGAGGGGCCGGAACAGCAGTGCTTTTGGATAGGGGAAGAGCTCAGTATTGCCAATTACCTTAAGACACTGCTACTTGGTCTCGTACGGAAGTCTACAGGTACACTTAAATTTCACTTTTTCATACCTTTTTTTCCCCAGTTCTAGAATGATGGTGATGCTACACATTTAACTCAGAAAGCAATGTTTGAAGAACCTAGACGCTTTTGTGAGTAGCATCATATAAAGGTTAACAAAGAAACAGACAGTTTTGTTAACAAAGTTGAAATACTGTGCAGTACATGAGTGAATAAGGCAAGGACTCTACCTGAATGCAAAGAAAGCTAAATACTGAGTGGCTGATTTTTCATGGAGTATTTTCAATTGTGAGTATTGCTTGAAATAGTAACCTTCTAAAGTGATGTTTCATGTAACGAATCTCAGAGTACACATACAGGAGTAGATGA